CTCTCTATCTCATTTTAATTCCTTGATCGTTATAGCTCCATGAGTAGAAACTTTTACTATTTGAAAGGGCCCTGACCATTTAAATTTTAGCTTCCCAAGAAATAGCTTGAGTCTTGAATTGTAAACGAGAACTTGCTGCCCCACTTCGAATTTCCTGGGGTTTATGTGAGCATCATGCCATTTTTTGGTTTTCTCCTTTTAAATCTTGGCATTTTCATAAGCGTCCCTTCGGAATTCTTCCAATTCTTGTAGTTGCAGCTTCCTAACTTCCCCTACTACAGCATGGTTTAGATTCCATTTTTTTATTGCCTAGAATGCTTTGTGTTCCAGTTCTAGGGGTAAGTGGCACAGTTTTCCAAATACCAGTTTGTATGGGGACGTTCCTAACGGCGTTTTAAATGTCGTTCTGTATGCCCGTAGAGCTTCATCTAGCTTTAATGCCCATCCTTTCTGCCGGCTGATAAATCTCCAAAAGAGAGTTATTCTAGTGTTTATTTGGGTAGTTTTATAAAAGGAAATTTCAAGGTGTGTCGGTTTTAGGTCATAATTAGCATGAATAGTGTTAAAATGTAAATTCTTAGCTAAATATCCTTATTCTTGAGAACTTCGGCCAAAAACAGCATAAATTCTCGTACTTGTGGTTCATTTGCATATATTTTTAAAGAACTAAGAAGAGAAGGAAGTGTTTAACCAGATAAAAGCAGTTAAAGCATTATCAAGACAGAGCATATAAAACTTGGAGCATAGCGATGCCAAAGCATAGAGTGACTGAACAATTAATTCCAAAAACACGGGATTCACTTATGTCTTTACAATTTTTAGCTGGGTGCCATAAATTTAGAACCCGATATAAAAGGGGCATGTTGCCTTATTCGCCACACACAGAGCCCAAGGGAGACAAATTTTGAGAGCTGAAAAGATAAGAGAGAGGAATATACCCATTTTCAAGAGGAGAGCTGACGACAGAAACAGGAAGCTTGCCTGCTGGAAAATGTTGTCTGCTTCTTCTTCTGTGTCATTAGCCATTTTTCTGCTATGGGTTGTATTTCTTCTTCTTTCATTTTGTTTGCTTCACCCATTATGAGCTAAACCCCATTTTGGGGGAGATTTACATTTTGTAATTGACTTGAGACCGAACCTCTAGCTGCTACATTTATTTTTAAGCAAATCTGATTTTATTTCTTAATCTTCGCATTACTGTTGGCCGCTGTTTCGTGTATGCTAGCTTATGTATTGACCTGGAAGGGCTTATGGGTGCTGGTTTGTTTTGTTAGGGATACTTAGGAATGGGGTCCCCTAATAATGCCTATAGCATGGGTTAATTGCTTGGGTATTTAGCAACGAGAGTTGTACTTACTCATGTTTGGTGTTGGGTGTGTTGCCCTAAACTCTTAGTTTTTATTTATGTAGAAACAAATGTATATTCAATAAATTTATTGTTGAATTCATAGCATTGTATTGTCCAAAATCCAATAAACTAAACATCCAAGGTTATTTTCATGTAACCGGGACAATATATATACTGGGTATATATTTGATATACCCATGATATACGAGTGGATAATGTCCCGTGAATAACCTAAAGGGTCTGTAGTATATGGAAAAGGCTGGGTACCTTATCCTGACAACACCATGGATTCGACCCACCTTGTAAATGTTACAGACGACTCGATCCAGGTCGTTCGTGTGGAGACATGCGAGTGGGGGTATCTTATACAATGAGTTTGTATAAGACCAAACTGTGAAATAGACAATCTTTAGATGTAACGCCGTTAACTAATAGATTGCTATTTCATAGGATGACCAGACAACTCATTCTCAATCCTTAGTGAGTTATGGACTCCTGCCCGTGAGGGCTCGTCCTTTGATCTGTATAGGTGAGAGTGGCCCGAGTTGTTAACTTAATATTCCTACCATTTTGGGGATGAGACCGAATAAGGAGCTGGGAACATTACTTCACAAGATAGAATTCACTCCTCTCCGACTTTATGGGAGTAGATGAGTGTTCTCTTAACTACTGACTCTGGGACTTGAACAAGGGGCCCCACCCTCTCACTGGCCCGAGAGAGACTTCCAATTATTGGTCGGACCATAATCGGGTTGTTCATTAGAGGAGTAGTGATATTTAAGGAGTAAGATGTAACTCAGGGGTAAAACGGTAATTTACCCAGCTTAAGTTACGAACACTTGTGAATGATTGACTTGTCATTAATGGTTGTATATCCGTGGACACAAAAATATTTTGTAGTGAGAAGAGTGCAGCTGCGGGTCTTTAGTGGAGTGACTCGTAGTTAACGAATGTTGACTAACTCGGTCAATGAGTTTGACCAGTTAATCTCGTATTGTTGGAGCTTCTGATCTGTAGGTTCATTAGGTCCCCTTGCTAGCTCATAACTGGTAAAACGAGGATCAAGTTTTTTGGAAAAATTTGAAATGTTCAAATTACTTGAGAGATTATATGTATATTGATACATTATAATATATAGTTAATTCTAAATTATAGAACTATATATTATGAGAGATATTATTTGAATGAGATTCAAATGAAATTAATATGAATAAGATTCATATTAAACTATAGGTTAAAATTAATGTGCATAAGATGTACATTACAACTATTGGTTATATGAGAGAAATGTTTTAGAATATGATTCTAATTTTGTAATAAATAATTATGTGTTAATTATTTATTTGATATATATATATATGTTACTTAATTATTAATTGGATTAATAATTAATAATTATTTATTAAATAATATGATTATTTAATAAACTATACATATACATATATATATTAATATTAATTATTATATATTAATTATTAATTAATAATTAACATTTAACTCCCCTGCATTTTAGTAGGAGAGTGGGGAGTTTATGACGTGGGGTAACTCCCCACCTCATAAGTTGGTTTTGTGTTTGTAAGAGAGTTCTGCTGTGTACACAATAGAAGAAAAACAAACTCTCAAGGAAGATTACTCTCTCAATCAAGGTTTTCTCTAAAAAAAATTCTCCCTTACGTTCCAAATGGACGTTGCCACAAGCCCGATCTCGGTACCCAGAGGATAGCACGGAAGACCATTTGGTGTTGTTCGGGAGATTGAATCATTGAAGAAGAGTTCTTCAAAGGTAAAAAAAAACTTCTTTCCCCTGTATTTTCGTTATTAGATGTTTAATTTTGTTTTCTCAAAAATTGATGAACAAAGATCCGCTTCCACTCCGGGATTCACATCCCATAATTTGGGGTGTCTCGGAAGGGAACCGAGCCGAGCTGCGCACTAATAAATGTGAGCTACGCTAAAGGGTAGGTTGATAACTTGTGACAGTATGCTGAATCTCCCATGCCTTTTCCACATCTGTTATTCCCCCGTTATCTTTTTCTGTGCTACTACTTTACTGTGTTCATAGCTTCGAAACTATTGTCTCTGGCAAGTTTCTGTTGTCTTGTTAATACTTTATTTTATTTTTCCTATATAATATCCATACCCAAACTCTGTACATTTTTATTTGTCGGTATCTGCATTTATCGTTAAAATATAAACCAAAAATCCCTGTGGATACGACCTCATTATGTACTACAACCGACGAATTGTGTATACTTGCCGGAAAATTTTTTATGAAGTACTTCCCACCAAGCAAAAATGCTAAGCACAGAAGCGAAATCAACAATTTTCAGCAATTTTTTGGGGAGTCGATTAGTGAGTCTTGGGAGCGTTTTAAACGGCTTCTGCAACAATGCCCTCATCATGGGATCCTAAGATGCATCTAGCTCGAAACGTATTATAATGGTTTGACGATGCCACTTGTCTGGTCATCGATGTGTCAGCAAATGGGGCTTTGCTAACAAAACTTTATGCTGAAGCATTCAATATCTTAGAGAGGATATCATCAAACAATCATTCATGTCTGACCCTAGAGCCATCCAAGGAAGAGGAAGCACGGGACTGAACGAATTAGAGTGTTTCACCTCCTTAAATTCAAAAATTGAGAATTTGACAGATTTGGTTATGAGGAGTATGACGCAACAAAATGCAGCTGGAGCATCTTCTGGTAAGGCAAATGTTAACCACGTCTAAGGGATTTCTTTCTCTTTTTGCCAAGGAGACCACCATTACAACAATTGCCCTAGCAATCCAGAGTCGATGTACTATTTGGGAAATGCTTAGAACAATGAAAACGACTCGTATTCCAATACGTACAACTCGGGCTGGAGGAACCATCCTAACTTTAGTTGGAGCGAAAAATCAGGGAGGAAACAGTGTCGATACATCCAATGCTCCAGCATATCAGTAAAAAGGAAATTATCCCCCAGATTTCTCAAACCAAGGTCAAGTAACATTGCAAAGGTCATCTGAAGGAGCATTCGCATCTTTGGAGAATCTAATGAAGATGTAAATGGAAAAGAATGATASCTCGGTGCAAAGTCAGGCAGCATCGCTACGGAATCTTGAAACGCAGGTGGGTTAGTTGGCAAAAGATCTGAAGAGTAGGCCTTATGGAGTGCTGCCCAATGATAATAAGGTGACCAAGAGGGATGGGAAGGAGCAATGTAATGATTACATTGCTCAGTGGCAAGGTATTGCCTGCTACCCATCCAAATGCTGCAGGAATCTATAAAGAATTAAATCAAGATAAAGGACGTGGGCTACAGTCAGAAGAATGCGAGTCAGCCGGAACACCTATAATCATGCCAGTTAAAAAAAGGGCAAACCTCAAGTAGTTAGTGAACAGTAACAGTAAATAATGGAACTGTAAAGCAACACAAGCAAGAAGGTCAACCCAGTAGAAGCTAGGGCAGTGAATGTTGGAGCATCGAAGTCACGTGCAATCAGAAAACAAAAGCAGACGGAGAACGAAAATGCTCCAGCCGAGTATCGACCTGCACCACCATACCCAAAGCGGCTGCAAAAGAAAGAGCAGGATGTGTAATTTAGAAAGTTCCTTAATGTGTTGAAGCAGCTCCATGTCAACATACCGCTGGTGGAAGCATTGGAGCAAATGCCGACTTATGTGCGCTTCCTTAAGGACATTCTCACAAAGAAAAGAAAGCTGGGAGATTATGAAACTGTGGCAATGACTAAGGCCTACAACGTTATACTCACGAGTAAAATACCTACAAATATGAAGGATCCTAGAAGCTTCACCATACCAGTGTTTATAGGAGCGCAAAAGATAGGGCTTGCACTGTGTGATATGGGGTAAGCATCAACCTTATGCCGCTATCGATTTATAACAAGCTAGGAATAGGAAAAGCAAGACCCACCAAAGTCACCTTGCAGCTAGCAGATCGATCAATAACGCATCCAAAGGGAAAAATTGAAGATGTTCTGGTACAAGTAGATAAATTTATTTTCCCTGCTGACTTTATTATTTTGGACCATGATGCAGATAAGGAGGTTCCTATCATTCTAGGAAGACCATTCTTTTCAACTGGAAGAGCACTCGTGGATGTCCACAAAGGAGAATTGACGATGCACATGCAAGATCAAGAAATGAAGTTCTCAGTGCATGATTACATGAAGTTTCCTGCTGAATCAGAAGAATGCACAGTGTTGAAGATTTTAGATGAAGCTTTAATGGAGGAATAAAGTGCAGAAGCAATGCTGAAGCATTGTGTAAGTAGAGATGCTGGACTTCAATAAGGTTTTGGTGATGGGAATAAAGAGATGATGGTAAAGGAAGATGCTACCACTGGGATAGAAACCTGAGCACCTGGAGAAGRGTATACAAGTGTTGAGACGTCAGATGCCCCAGCACAGCATGCAGAAGCTAGTGAGGGCCAACAAAGTGGAAAGATGGTAGATGCTCCAGCATCTTGTGCCCTCAATCAAGAACATTGCCTTACAGCCCCTGTAGACAAAGTTCATATCATTGTAGTGGAAAAACCGGTAAACTTACCCAAAAAAAAGCCACCCGATATCAAACCAATTCTAAAAGCTTCAGAATCAACGATGAAAATACCAAAAAGAGAGTTGGAAGCAGGCAACAAAGAGAAAAAGGCAAAACCTTCCAAGTCATCAACCAAGGTACGAACCGAGCAAGCGAAAGCAACTCCAGTCACCGCTTCCAAGAAAAAGAAAAAGGTAAACAAGAGAATTTTCAATGCCTCAACTGTGGGGAAAAGGTATGCTGCAACTATTTCACAGGAGCCTACCCGAGCTGCAAAGAAAGGAAAGAAGACAATAGATCCAGAGAGGAAGATCAGCCCACGGACGACTCGTTGGATGAGAAAGAAAGCAAGGAACATTGACATGCTTGACCCGCGAGAGAGACATTCCTTTGCTTTTTACTCTGAAAAGTGACATCCACCCATCAGTTGTTGTTATTTTTTACCTCCACCCTCCAGTTTTTGTTACTTTTTATTTTCCTTAGTCTAGTCTAGTTTAGTTTTAATTTATGCATTTTAAATTTCTATCTTTCAAATATGTCTTTGCATATTTTTCTTTTTGTAGTTCAGTATATGAATACCCCTAAATTTAATGCAAAGAAGTTAGCAAATCCTGTGTTCTCAACATTTGTCTTTTGCCTTGCCCCATATGTATAGTCTTGATGCTAGAGCCTGCTAGTGCGTAGTTTTTCTGTTGATGCTGGAGCATTTTAATGAGTGTTAGCTTTCTTTTGTTCATCTTCTGGTTCATGTTTGCCTTCCCATACCCTATCATCCCTCTAACAATACTGGCCTCAAGTAGCGGTTACCCTAGGCGGGAATTTCAACAACTCTCTATCCAAAGCCAACCCTTATCTTTGTATAGCTAGCCTGGGCCTTTTCTTTTAGATCCCCTTAGATGATAGCATTAACCCTGCACACTCATGTCTATACCTCGATAGCGAACATCCTTGTAATTCTCATTGTACTTTTGCTTTATGTTTGGGGGTATGCTAGAGCTTTACATTCTAGATGTCCTTAGTTGCATTGAGGACAATGCAACCTTTTAAGTTTGGGGGAGTGAACTTTCAGTTCTTACATCTCTATTAGTAATTGTACAGAACCATGAATCTTTCTAATCCTGTAATTCAGTCAAAAAGAAAGGTCATCAATAAAGGAGAGGCTAGCAACCCGCATCTAGAGTATATAAAAAGGCTGCAGGATTAGGAAGTGCTAGTAGCCCATGGTTGAAGAAGCTCAAGTTTGTAATGCAAGGGCTAAAGGTTTAGGCTAGTGAAAAGAGCTTGAGAAAGGAATCCGTAGGAGAAGTTAAGCATGAGGTTGGGAAGTAGAAGGAAGCTAGAGTTGGGCAAAAAATAGCGTCTTCCAGAGTGTGAACAAACTTAGGCTGCTTTCATTTCTTTGCTCCAGCTGAAGCACTATAGCAGAGTATGTAAGTTCTAGCGTTGATGATCAAAGTAAATTTTTAGGGCATAGGGCTGGATGTTTGAAGTGCAGGCTTCTAACATTCGTCTTTTGTGAATGAGGTAAAATGCATGCTCTTGCTTGAGGACAAGCAAGATTTTAAGTTTGGGGGTGTGATAACTCTCCAAGAGAGAGTTATTCTAGTGTTTATTTGGGTAGTTTTATACAAGAAAATGTCAAAATGTGTCGGTTTTAGGTTATAATTAGCATGAATAGTGTTAAAATGTAAATTCTTAGCTAAATATCCTTAGTCTTGAGAGCTTTGGCCAAAAACAGCATAAACTCTCGTATTTGTGGTTAATTTGCACAAATTTTTAAAGAAGAACTAAGAATAGAAGGAACTGCTGAACCAGAGAAGAGCAGTCAAAGCATTTTCAAGATAGAGCATATAAAACCTGGAGCATAGCGATGCCAAAGCATCCAGTGACCGTATAGTTAATTCTAAAAACACGGGATTCACTTATGTCTGTATAATTTTCAGTTTGGTGCCCTAAATTTAGAACCTGATATAAAAGGGGTGTGTTGCCCTAGCCACCACACACAAAGCCCAAGGGAGACAAAGTTTGAGAGCTGAAAAGACAAGAGAGGGGAATATACCCATTTTCGGGAAGAGAGCTGATGGCAGAAAGGGGAAGCTCGCCTGCTGAAAAATGTTGTCTGCTTCTTCTTCTCTGTCATTAGCCATTTTTTCTGCTGTGGGTGGTATTTATTCTTCTTTCATTTTGTTTTCTTCACCTATTATGAGCCAAACTCCATTTTGGGGAGATTTACATGTTGTAACTGACTTGAGACTGAACCTCTAGCTGCTGCATTTATTTTTAAACAAATCTGATTTTATTTCTTAATCTTCGTGTTACTATTGGCCGCTGTTTCATGTATGCTAGCTTCTGTATTGACCTGGAAAGGCTTATGGGTGTTGATTTGTTTTGTTTGTGATTAGCGCTTTTCTATAGTTATAGCGATATTCAGGAATTGAGACCCCTAATCATGCTTATAGCTTGGGTATTTAGCAACGGGAGTTGTACTTACTCATGTTTGAGGTGTCTCAGAAGGGAACCGAGTCGAGCTTGACACTAATAAATGTTAGCTACACTAGAGGGTAGGTTGATAACTTGTGACAGTATGCTGAATCTCCCCCACCTTTTCCATATCTTTTATTCCCCCGTTATCGCTTTCTGTGCTACTGCTTTACTGTGTTGACAACTTCAGAGCTATTGTCTCTTGTAAGTTTCTGTCGTCTTGTTATTACTTTATTTTATTTTTCCTATATAATATCTATACCCAAACTCTGTATATTTTTATTTGTTGGTATCTGCATTTATCGTTAAAATATAAACCAAAAATCCCTATGGATACGACCTCCTTACGTACTACAACCGACGAATCGTGTATACTTGCACGTGTTGTCAACACAGTTGTGTGGACGCAACACCGATTTTCACCACTTTTTTCTAGGATGCTTTTGAGTTCTCTATTTGAAATTTCTGCTTGGCCATTTGATTGAGGGTGGTATGCTATAGCGATTTGGTGCTTAACATTGTATCTAGCTAATAATCGTGCCATAGCTCTATTCACAAAATGTGTTCCTTCATCAGTTATTATCGCTCTTGGTGTGCCGAATATGGTGAAGATATTTTTCAGGAGGAATTTGGTTACCACCTTAGTATTCATGAGATTGTCTCAACCCATTTAGACACATAATCAACTGCTATGAGATGAACAAATGGCCGTTAGATGGTGGAAATGGGCCCATGAAGTCTATACCCCACACGTTAAACCGTTCAACTTCCCAAATATAAGTCAATGGCATTTTCAATTTCTTTGAGATATTCCTGTACTGTTGACATTCATTGCAGTTTTTTACCAGCTGGTGCGCATCCTTGAAAATTGATGGCGAAAAATAACCACTCTGAAGCACCTTGGCTATTGTTCTTTGTCCACCAAAATGTCCCCCATAAAGAGCAACATGGCAACTTTTTAATATTTGGGATGTTTTCGATTCGGTGACACATTTTCGAATTATATTGTCATGCCCCAATCTATACAAAAGATGATCATCCCAATAGTAAAATCTGCATTCGTGGAAGAAACATTTCAACTGCTGTTTTATCCATCCCTCTGGAYATATTCCTACTGCCAAGAAATTTGCAATATCTGCAAACCATGGCCGTTCCTCCTTAGCATCTGTATGCGACAAGGTGGGCAACTGTTCATCTGGGAAGCTCTTTTTGATGGCTACAGCTTCCTTACTCTCGTCTGCTTTTACGATACTGGACAAATGATCGGCTACCACGTTTTCTGACCCCTTTGTATCCTTTATTTCCACGTCAAATTCTTATAGCAGCAGAATCCATCTAATCAATCTTGGTCTTGCATCTTTCTTGCTTAGCAAGTATTTCAATGCAGTGTGATCAGTATGGACTATCACTTTTGCTCCCATCAGGTATGCACGAAACTTCCTGAAAGCAAATACCACCGCTAGTAACTCTTTCTCTGTAGTGGTGTAGTTGATTTGAGTCTGTACCAGTGTTTTGCTGGCATAATAGATTGGATGCAACATTTTATTCTTCTTTTGCGCTAACACGGCTCCTACTGTAAAATCACTAGTGTCGAACATTAATTCAAATGGAAGCTGCCAAACATGGGATTGAATAATTAGAGCATGGGTGAGTGCATACTTCAACATATCAAATGCCTTCAAACAGTCAGCAGAAAAATCAAACACTCTATAATTTTCTAATAAAAAACATAAAGGTTTAGCAAGTTTAGAAAAATCCTATAAACCATTGGTAGAACCTTGCATGGTCGAGAAAACTTCGAATTCCTTTTACGATAGCTGGTGGTAGCAGTTGTTCAATGATGTCAACTTTGGCTTTATCTACCTTCAGTCCTTTCTTTGAAACCCGATATCCCAATACTATGCCCTATTGCACCATGAAATGACATTTTTCCCAGTTGAGGACTAGGTTGGTCTCCTCACAGCGCTGCAACACCCATCGAAGGTTCGATAGGCATAGAGTGAAACTAGCTCAAAAAATCGAGAAGTCGCCCATAAAGACTTCTACCACGGATTCAATCAGGTTTGAGAATATAGCCATCATGAATCATTGAAATGTGGCTGGAGCGTTGCACAGAACGAAAGGCATCCTCCTGAAGGCGAAAGTCCTATACGGGCATGTGAATGTTGTCTTTTGTTGATCTTGAGGAGCAATAGTGATCTGATTGTACCCACTGTATCCAGCAAGGAAACAAGAATACTGTTGCCCAGCCAGTCTTTCCAGCATTTGATAAATGAACGACAACGGAAAATGGTCTTTCCTTGTGTCTTTGTTTAGTTTCCTGTAGTCTATGCATATTCTCCACCCGGTAACTGTCCGGGTGGGAATTAGCTCATTCTTGGCATTTTCAACCACTGTCATTCCTCCTTTCTTTGGAACGAACTACATTGGACTTACTCACTCACTGTCTGAGATTGGGTATATAATTCTAGCATCCAGCCACTTTATGATCTCTTTCTTAATGACTTATTTCATCGCCGGGTTGAGTCTTCGCTGCGGTTCTACTTAATTCTTGCAAACTCTTCTAAAACAATTTTGTGCATACAGTAACTGGGGCTTATTCCTTCAATATCCGCGATTGTCCAACCGATAGCTTTCCTGTGTTCTCTCAACACTGCAGTAACTCGTTTTCCTTTTCTACAATTAGATATGCAACAATTATAATAGGCAACATGTTGGATGCTCCAAGGTAAGCATACTTCATATGTTTAGGGACGGCTTTTAACACCAATTCTGGTGTTTCCTCAATAGATGTCTTTAACTGTTTACGTCCAATGTCTTCTAAGACTAGGCTCTCGTGGACTCTTGACCATGATCTTGCTAAATCGCTAGTGCAGTCAAAATAGAGAATTTCTTGGCATATTTCATCTGCTTGCTCCAACACAGTATCCACTTCACCGTTCTGCTTCTCCAACATTGCCTCTGCACTGAGTGACTTCAATACAGCTTCGTCTAGTACTCGCAACACCGCACGCTCTCCAGCATCAGAAGGGTACTTCATAGAGTCGTAGATAGAAAATTTGATTTCTTGATCCTGCACTCTCATCGTTACTTTTCCTTTATGCACATCCACAAGCGTACGCCCCGTGGCTAAGAATGGCCTCCATAGGATGATTGGCACGTCCTCACCTGCATCAAAATCAAGAACAATAAAATCAGCTAGAAATATAAACTTATCTACTTGTACCAGAACACCCTCGATTTTTCCTTCGGGGTTTGCAATTGAGTGATTTGCTAGCTGAAGTGTGACTGTCGTTGGCCTAACTTCTCTCACACCCAGCCTCTTATATACTGACAGCGACATTAAATTAATGCTTGCTCCTAGATCACACAAGGCTTGACCAATCTTATAACCTCCAATGGATACCGGAATTGTAAAATTTCCTGAATCCTTCATTTTTTCTGGATTTTTACTCTTCAGAATTCACTGCATTCCTTTGTTAAACAGACAGTTTCAAATTCTCCCAGTGCTTTTTAGTTAGGACATCCTTCAAAAATTTTACGTAAGTCGGCATTTGTTCGAGTGCCTCCACCAGTGGGATGTTGATGTGTATTTGCTTAAGCACCTCTAGGTAGCGTTTAAACTACCCTTCCTGATTCTTCTTCTGCAGCCTTTTTGGGTATGGTATTGTAGATACATAAGTTGTGGTAATTGCTGGAGCTTGATGTTTTTCTGGAAGTTGTTGCTTAGCCGGTGAGTTAGATACGGATGCTTTAGCTTTGTCTGTCTTGTCTGCTTCTTCAGTATTCTTTTCTTCATACAGTTTTTGCCTTGACTCTGCAGTATGTGTTGGTGTCTCACTATCTCCCAACTTTTCTGCTCTTGAGCTTTTATCAGTGTTCACTAATCCATCTAATTTTGTAAGCTGCTCTACTTCCCCGAGGGTATCAGGTATAACTTCTTGTTCCTCGTTAGCTCCTTCTCGTTCATACGTCGGTGGTAATGCCCTACCGCTTCTCAACGTTAAGGCCTTGCACTACTCCTTTCCATCTCATTTTGGCTGCTCTGTATCACTCGGCAAAACTCTTTTTGGTATGCTTTTTAACTCTGTTGCCAATTGGCCCATCTACAATTCCATATTACGCAAAGATGCTGTTTGGCTCTGCAGCAACGCAACTTGCCTTTGTATGCTGGCATCATTCTTTGTCATATATGCCTTGAACATATCTTCTAAACTTAGTGCTTCTGACTGCTTTGGAGTGGTCTGTTGATCCTATCCTGAGAAGCCTAGAGGGTACTGTGTCTTCTGACGATATATTTATGTATTACTTGACCAAGCATTGTTGCCTCTTTGGTTTCCTCCCTAACTGAAATTTGGGTGATTTGTCTAGCTCGGATTGTATGTGTTCCCATACACATTATTTCTGTTCTACTATGAGTTACCCAAGTAAAATACTAATGTAGGATTGCATGGGTAGTTTTCAAAATGGTGTTCTCCCTCCTAGTATGGACAAAGATTGCTTTGCACAGCAGCCACCTTCGCCTTGGTTGCTATAGCTCACTCGCTGTTGCACTTTTCATAATGATGTCAGCTAGGCGTGAAGTCTTTGAGTTAAAATTCGCTACTACATCGTCTTTTACTAACCCCGTGGGGCTTGCTGCTGTTAATGCTGATCGTGACTTTGACCATTGATGTTTATTCCTTGGAATCTTCTCCAAAATGTCAAAGGCTTCCGCATATGGTTTTGATAACAAAGCTTCATTGGCTGAAGCGTCAATCACCAATTGCGCAACCTCATTCAGTCAATTATAGTAAGTCTCGATTTGTATGCAACGTGGTATTCCATGATGAGGGCATTTCTCCAGAAATCCTTTGAATCTTTTCCAAGATTCACTCAAGGATTCTCCTGGGAATTGCTGAAAGTTGTTAATCTTGTTTCTGAGTTCAACATTCTTTGAAGGTGGAAAATATTGCATCAAAAATTTTTCTGCTAGGTCATTCCATGAAGTGATCCATTCGGCAGGTAAGGAGTCCAACCATGCTCCAACATTATCCCTCAAAGAATAAAGGAATAACTTTAATCTCATAGCTTCTTTACTAACTCCAGCTTCTTTAAATGAATCAACAACTTGCATGAAATATCTTAGATGTATATGTGGGTCTTCTGATGCTAGCCCATGAAACGGTCCCACTCTTTGCAACATTTGAAACATTGCAAGTTTTAGCTTAAATTTGCTCGCTTCTATGATTGGCTCTGCTATTAAAGGATTGAAGTCATAGAAAGCTGGGGCTGCGTATGCTCTAATTTCCTGCTCTGTATCATGTGCAAGCAGAACAACATTCAGGGGAGGTACTTGGATTCCAGCTCCAACCCTAACCCCTTTTATCCTTTCCATCTCCTGCTCAGGCCAAATTGGCGCTTCTGGATTCATGACTATCTCCCGGCCTTGTATTCACTGCTCAGCCCGTCTTTTTCTCAATGTATGCTCTGATTCTAGGTCGAAGGCAAATTCAAACATAGGGAAGTCGATCATCCACTGCTCAGTTCACCTGAAACACAAAATGGAAAGGCTCTTAAAGCATCGTAATTCAAAATAGATCCCAAATTCGAGTTATAAATTCTTAAATCCCCGACAACGGTGCAAAAACCTTGTTTGCTTCCTCACAACTAAAGGAAAATTAGTGCAAGTATAGACTAAATAATCAATTGTAGTATATAAACAAGGTCGTATCCACAGGGATTACAAAATAAAAAAAAATCAGATTTGAGAATTTCTTGAATCACCAAAAGAAAAAAAATTAATTAATGATATATTAATTCAGTTTCTAAAGGTAACAAAATTAAATAAGCAGTAAGGAACCAGCTACTACGAAAACTCAGCACACTCAAAAGCAACCGACAAAGAGGATGACAAACACGCGGGAGAAACAAATGATAAGTAAATCAGGGTGGGGAATTTCCCAAGTGCAGCTCTTTTGTCCGAAAATACACCACTGCTCAACACTTCAACTCTTACTAACCAAACCCTCGTGGCTCTTTCCCAAGATACCTTAGTTATATTTTAGTATGATTCCCACTGTAACTAAGATATACATAGCAAACTGTTTATAGGCACTGTATGGTGAATCCCATCCCTAGGTATCCACCCTTCTATCTTAACAAGGATTAATACAGCTAACGGAAGCTAAGCTACTCAACAAATGCTGTTTTGATGCCTAAAGCAAGAAAACACACCAAACAAGTAGGCCACACAAGCGTATTGAGATTAAGAAATTAAGCACACTTCCATTAAATAGTCATTTAAGTTGAACAAGATAAACAATGAATAAACAGCAAGCGTTGGGACTATTCCCTCCCCGAAGGTGAAGGTTAGTTCATACTAAAATGGCAAAAGAAAATAACAAATACGAAGGTGAAATCACTGTCAACGGTCAGGGCAGATAATAAGAAACTTCCTCTAGTGTATAGTGTACCCCAAGGGCTCGATTTGTATCTTTCAGTTCCTTCTTCGATAAAAATAATGCCCTCTGTCAATGGGATAATCTCCTCTTTTCTTCCCAAAAAACGATGCTAACTTCCATAAGGGTCTACCTCCTTTAGCGGCTGGTCCCTCTTTTCCTTAAATACCGGTTCCTTTAAAATTAGGGCACCTCTTGGAGACTGTACGGACGTAGTAACATTTCCAGCTCAAAGAGTTACTGCACTATTACGCGCTCTGGAGCATTCGAACGAGCTGCAGGCTGCTGGCCAGCGCTTCTTTTCTATACTTAACATATTCTTCACGAGCTTGGCAGCACACCTCTCCTCCTAATCTGAATTCATCTGCCCCTGCAAAAACTAACAACTATTAAGCATTTAATCATGAAAATCATCGCAAATTAGAAATTTCAAGAGTTTAGGGCCTACTCGATGTATTCTCCCTTTTTCTTAGGTTTATTTCTAAATATCCTCGCATTTTCGCACCATAAATATCCTGAATAACGTGTTAAACACTTTCTATCTGAGAGTTATCACTGATCATGGAAGAGAAATAAGAGAAAAAATCCCTCAAATGTTCAAACTCCCTACTGTAAAACAGTGCGATGGCTCGACAAATCCCATTGATCATCTGGACGCATATAGAGAATGGATGGACCTATATGGGATGACAGAAATAATCAGGTGCAGAGTATTTTAATTCACATTAACCAGCACAGCCCGCATCTAGTTTCGGCAATTAAGAAGAAAATCAATCTTCTCTTTTAAAGAACTGGTCAGCGCATTTGTCACGCAACTCCTTGGATGGCGGAAAATAGAAGTCCATCTGTGACTTACCTTCTTACCGTAAAGGAGGAATCAACTGAGAGCCTCAAGAAATATGCGGCTCTCTATAATGAGGACAAATGACTAGTCAAAGATCTTACCGATGAAATATCACTACTCGCTTTCATATCTGGCATAAGAAACAAAGACCTGTTATTCTCTTTTGGAAAAAGGGCCCCAACAACCTTCTCAGAGGCATTGAATCAAGCTGTAAAATATATGAGCGTAGAAGAGCTACTCCCGTCAAAGTGGGGTCTCGACAGAACTCGAGACCAACCAGATCAACGAGACCCTTTGAAGAAATATACCACAATGACAGCCTCGTTCGAACAAAAATCAAAGGAGAGCAACAAACATCGCATGACAACACTACAAACGCACATTGCAGGGCACTATCTAACTTTTCTTTGTTTCTTTGTTTCTTCTTCTAGTTGATAATTGAATAAGTTTATGGTAATTATTTCTAATTATTTAAATGTTAGGTAGCATAGGTTAGATTATCATTTGCTTCCTTTCAAATTACGTCTGATTTTACGGTTTTAAGACTAATTATCTTCTTCTGGTTATCTGCATCTGTATTTTAAATAATTCCTTATTACATAATCATTTATCTTTCATTCTAAATGAAAACCCATAATGTGGGGGCATGGGTCAATTAATCAATAGCTGGTCAAGGAACTCGAACCAGGACAAACCTAGAAGCAGGCTAATAAGCTAGAAGCCAGTCAGTGAAACTGAGGAAGAGAATCCCGAAGGTGCTAAAAAAGGCATGCATACAGGCCCAGCAAGGTTAAAACAAAAAGCAGGCAAGTCTAACCAATCAATGAAATTCAGGGTAGAAATCATTTGGCAAAAGCCAAAATAGGTTAGAAACCCAAAGTTGTTGATTAACTTAGGGTAAAATATCGGCACAATGAAATAAGGTTAGAAACTCAAGGGTGTTGACTAAGCTAAGGGTAGAAACCATTGGCAAAAGCCAAATAGGTTAGAAACACAAGAGTAAACCTTGGGGTATAAAACCATGGGCAGAAGCCAAATAGGTTAGAAACCCAAAGGTAGTACCACTGGCCTTACTGAAAGCTAAATCTGAAGGCCAAAATGTAACGGTTAAAACTAACCGTATAGTAGTTCCCAAGAGACTTGATTGCAGCC